TCCTCCACAGCCAACGGAGCCACACTCCGACAGGGCCAGGACAGGAGGAGACACTGGAGAGAAAGATTTTCCTGGCCAAAAATTCAGGGTTCCGCTTCAAACTGTGAGGAGAATCTTTAAAATGTGAATATCCGCCGAGGATCCCTCCAATTGTTGTTTTTCCGGTCTCTTGATTGGGTTGCCGAGTTTCTAAATCAATGCAAAGGAATCTTTGAACGGAGATGACATTCCACACTGGCCGCCTTCGCACGGATTTGACAGACCTTCCTCCCCACCCCCCGCAAAAAAAAAATGTGCTTTTCATCAGGCAAAAGGCACCGTTTTTCCGCCGTATGGTCCAGCGTGGCTCGTGGCATTGGTGGCCGGCCTGGCCTCCTGGTGGAGGTTTGCAAAGGATGGTGATTGGAGAAACAGCTGAAGATCGTAGAGAGCGGCGGTGAACATTATCCCAAATGCTGCCTCCAACTGCAATCCTTTTATTCCCATCGATTGCTCTAAAGTGCCTTGGTTTTCTTCTCTCTGGAATTTGATTTTTAAAGGAGAATTAAACGAGCTTTTTTTAAAAAAAAATAAAATGTTTCTTAATCCATTTTCAAAGGCCTCCGTGGCTTAGCAATTGCTTTTGCCGGGGTTTGAGTTTGCAAATTTCCATGGTCCTCACGAAGAAGCAGTTTGGGAGAGGAAAAGGAAAAATGCTAAATTGAGGAGAGGGATCTTGTTACATTTAAGCTGTACTCCAACTCCCATCAGCCACTGTCAGTAAGACCTGGAACTGCATCAACTAAAAAAAAATGAGTGAATTTGCAGGATGCCCTTTAGTCCTGTTTTTTTTTTCATCCATCCATCCATTTTTCAGAAGATTTGTTTAATGCTTCAAACCCTTTTTAAAAAGCCCCCTCCCAATATTTTCTTTCGATTGGCGACTTGATTTGTTTCAGGAGTCTGGAAGAGGCGGCTTCCAACATTCCCAGCAAGGGTGGGGATTGTATTTTATTTCAATCTCATTTTAAATTGTGTTTGATTCCAATCCCATTTTAAATTGTTTTTTTTTTTTATAAATCAGATTTTAGTAACCATTTGTGTTTGGAACTCTGCCCTTTGATATGGCCCATGGGCTAATCAATAAACTAAATTAAATTAAACTAAATTAAACCATATACAGGAAAAAAACACCTGGGGGGGAGCGTTCTTTGGACCTGCCCCCCAACAATCAGAATTAAGAATGGCTGTGCTGGTCATACAGTATATGCTGTAGTTAGGAATGAGAGCTGCTGCCTTTGCTAAAATGCTATGTGATGAAGAGCATCTTTTCACTTTCATGTCCCCAAGCTTCTGGGACAGCAGTTAAACACTACAAAGGCTTCCATGCAAAGTTAGTTTATTGGATTTTATTAGGCATCTCAAAGTATAACTCACAGTTATGTTGAGATTCATCAAATGTCCAATTTGCCTCAATAGTGTGAAAAGATGGTTATCTTCATCCTATAGCGTTATAGCAAAGGAAAACTCCAGCACGATGCTGGGGTCCAGGTAAGAATGCCCAAAAACTCCCCCCAGCCCAACCAGAGTGGTCAGTGACCAATCAGGATTACAGTTGTGACCACGTGACATGAACTACATCTCCCAAGAGGCATGAACTACATTTCCCATGAAGCATTCTCTTAAGGGGGCAGCTCTCATTCCTAAACCAACTATAGACTGTCTGACCAGCACAATGACCCCAAAGGACCGTAACAAGGCTCCAAAGTGAGGAAAGATCCTGGGTCAAATATTTATTTTTTGTCCTGCAATTTTGCCACGGGCTAAAAGTACTACAGGTAGTCCTCCACTTACAATGGTTCATTTAGCGACCATTCAAAGATACCAGAGCCCTGCCAAAAAGCGAGTTACGACCATTTTTTATCACTCTTCTGCGATCTTCCAACAAGCCAAGTCAATGGGGAAGCCAGGTTCCCTTTAACAACCTTTGTTACTAACTTAACCACGATGATGATTCACTGAAGAACTGTGACTAGACAGGTTGTAAAATGGGGCACAACTCACTTAACAAACATCTAGTTTAACAACATGAATTTGGGGGCTCAGTTGTGGTTGTAACTCGAGGACTCTCTATGCAAAACTTTACAAGTGAATCCTGGCCAAAGCTTTATGGCCTTGAATTGTTCTTTAATTTTATTGACAGGAGGTTGCCTTTGTGGTTCGGGTCTGTGAGCCTCCCAGAGGCACTTCGGCTTCAATATAAAACTGGAATAAATTAGCAGAATTAAAACAGAATTGGAAGGGAGCTTGGAGGTCATCTGGTTCAACCCCGCCCCAGAAGGAGACCCAAATAAAAGGGAAGAGATTGGAACACAATGTGGGGAAACTTACTTTTCACTTTGCAATATTTCATTTCCTTCACACGTGCCTTCCATCCCGGGTTTTCTTCCCTCCCCGCGAAAATGCTCGCATCGAGGGCTAAAAAGAAATCGCGTGGCCATGCTCGGCCGTCGCGGCCTCCCTGCCGGCCCCCTTCCCGGAGCTGCTGCCGGCTCCGCGGCCGGGCGAAACCCCCTTGAATCCCCCCCGCTGCATTTCCGTCCGTTTAAAAAGCCGGCGCGGGGAGGAAAGAGGTGCCGGGAGACGCTTCAACGGAAAAGGTGTGGGGGTGGGGGGGGGGGGGGGGGGGGTCAGTGTTTTCCTTCCCCTCCCGCTTCCGCTGCCCCCTCCTGCCTCGCTCTTCCGACAGGTAGGAGCAGTTCTGCTTCACTAAGCGAGACAGCCGCGCAGGTGAGCCGCTTCCTCACCTTTGCAAACTTTCTTAAAAGTGATTCTGTCAACGGGGCGTGTGGGGGGCGTGTGTTTGTGTCTACAGCTCTGCCCCTCCCCAAATAAATCTGTGTGTGTGTGTGTGTGTGTGTGTGTGTGTGTGTGTGAGAGAGAGAGAGAGAGAGAGAGAGAGAGAGAGAGAGAGAATTATAATAGATAGATAGATAGATAGATAGATAGATAGATAGATAGATAGATAGATAGATAGATAGATAGTAATGACAGAATGATAGTAATGATAGAGATGATAGGGAGAGAGAGTGATAATAGATGATAGATAGATAGATAGATAGATAGATAGATAGATAGATAGATAGATAGACAGACAGACAGACAGACAGACAGACAGACACAGACAGACACAGACAGACAGACAGACAGACAGACAGATGATAGTAATGATAGAGATAGGGAGAGAGAGAATGATAATAGATGATAGATGATAGATGATGGATGGATGGATGGATGGATGGATGGATGGATAGATAGATGATAGATAGATAATAGTAATGATAGAGATGATAGAGATGATAGAGAGAGAGAATGATAATACATGATAGATAGATGATAGTAATGATAGAATGATATATATGATAGAATGAAAGAATGATAGATAGTAATGATAGAATAATAGAGATGATAAAGAGATAGATAATGAGAGAGAATAGATAGAATAATATAGGTATATATGATAGAGATAATTGATTAGATGATAGATAAGATAGATATAGATGAGAGAGAATGATAGATGATAGATAATAATGATAGAATGATATATAGAGATTAGAGATAGTTAATGATAAAGAGATGATAGATTAGATAGATGATAGTAATGAAAGTATTCAGATGATAGATAATGATAGAATGATAATAATGATAGAATAATAGAGAGAGATTATAAAGATAGAGAGAGATAATGAATGATAGATATAGATAATAGAATGATAGATATAGATAATAGAATGATTGATGATAGATAGTAATGATGGAATGATAGATATAGATGATAGAGAGAGACATAATGATAGATAATAATAGATGATAGATTAAATAGATGGTAGTAATGATAGAATGATAGAGAGATATAGATGAGAGAGAAAGAATGATAGAGATGATAAAGAGATAGAGACATAATGATAAATAGATCTATCTATCTGTAAACTTTTGCAAAATGCTCTTTTCTTTTAATTTTTGCAAAACAATCCATAAGTCCACCAAAAGGCAGCTTTTTTGAGGGGGGGAATCCCTTATAGCAGGGGTCCCCAAACTTGGCAACTTTAAGGCTTGTGGATTTCAACTCCCAGAAGGCTGAAGAATTCTGGGAGTTGAAGTCCACAAGTCTTAAAGTTGCCAAGTTTGGAGACCTCTGCCTTATATGAATTAATTACAAGGGGAAAAAAGGGTGGGTGTTTTTTTTAGTGTTTCTGTTGACTTAAAAGGGTTGGAAATGTTAGTTTGCAAAATCGGGCCAGTTTCCAAAGGAAAAACAAAAGTTTTTATTGTTCTCCCTTTGGGATACGGGATTGTGTCAGAGTCACCAGATACAATCCCGAATATTTTGCAAATATTTCTTGAGAGCTGAGTTTCCACGTACACTAGTATAAATTGTTCTTTTTAAAAAACAAACAAACAATAAACTCTTCTTGAAAAGAAAAACCCAAGTGGAGGCCAGTCAGTGCCTTTAAAAATATAATGGGCCGTTATCCCTTTCCAGCATAACTAGTGGCAAGGGATTATGGGTGCTGTAGTGTGGGGTATCTGGAGGGCAGTGAATTTGAAGAGGATAGAGAATAAAGACTGTTGCCATTTATGGATTTATTATAATATGAAGAAATCATACTGTACGGTTTAAAGCAGCCTTGGCAACTTTAAGACTTGTGGACTTCAACTCCCAGAATTCCTCAGCCAACTTCTGAGGAAGATAACATCTTCACAGCTAGGGAGAAATCACACAATGCACCCAAGCTTCTAGTCCTCATGGTTTGCAAAAAAAAAGAACTTGGAATGTTATTGTAATGCCCTTTGCCTTCCTGGTTGTCCCCCCACTTGCAGACAGGGAAGGACCCAGTCTCGCTACAGCTCGTGGGGCGGGGGCCTTCCTGGATTCCCACCACCCCAAAAAACTCATCGCAGCCCCAACAGTCCTGCGAGGTAGGCCTGCCTGCGATTCAGGCTGCGCTTCAACCCGAGAGATGGAATTGCCCCAAAGGATCCAGGCGGCTGCCAGGAAAGAAAACATACCCCCGGCTTTAAGTTGCTATGGGGCCCCAAAAGGTAAGCCCTAGAGAATTGGGGTGGGGGGAGAGGGGAGGAAAGATTATTTGGAAATCTCTATATATAAAAACAAAATACCCCTCACGCATCATCACAAAATCTCCAGATCCGTCAAGCCTACAAACTTGACATTTGGCACGTATGTTCCTCTTGGCTTCTACGTCCTCACTAAGAAAGGATTTTTCGAAATGACCATCAGAGCCATTAGTATTTCCTATATTATTATTATTATTATTATTATTATTATTATTATTATTATTATTATTATTATTATTATTATTATTATTATTACGCTCTGATGCTAAGGAGTTCTACTCCTCCTCCCCACCTGAAAAGAAATCTCTTCCAAATGCAAAACACAAGCAGAGGAGAGGAGTTTCAGTTTCAGGGCACCAAGCAGCTGTAGTACAGAACGGTTGAGCTAAGCCACGCCCAGGCTCCTTGCTGTCTCCTTGCTCACACAGCAAATACTCTCTCAGTTTCCAAACAGCCCTCAACTCTCTCACACACTGACAGGACGCTAGCCAGATGAATACCGAGGGATGCTGGGAGGCAGAGGCAAAAATTTTTCCCCCCTTATTTTCCTCCCCAAAAACTAAGCCCAACCACAGAGTTTCGTAGGTATCCAGCTAGAATAATTTATACACGGCCTTCAAATGCTTTTGAATGTTTCCTGTCTTGTTCTTAGCAAGAGTCTTTTCCAATCTGCCCTTCCCAATCGGCCTATGGGAGTGTGAGGTAGACTGCCTCTGAACAGGGAGGCTCTCCCGTCAGAAAGGCGGTGCCAGGATAAACGCGGTGCCTATCCTGGCTCCTCGGGAAGGATTCGAGAGGGGAATAAAAATGCCAGATCCTTGTCTATCTAGAACAGTTTATTACGGAGACCGGCTGTGATAGAGATAGTCCTCAACTTACAACAGTTCACTTCAGTGACCGAAGTTACTACAGCCCTGAGAAAAGTGACGGAGGGCCGTTTTTCGCACTTAACGACCGTTGCAGCATTTCCCAGGATCATGTGATCGAAACTGAGACGTTTGTCAACTGACTCACATTTATGACGGTCCCTGGGTCCTGGGGCCACACGTTCCCCTTTTTGCGACCTTCTGACAAGTAAAGTCCATGGACGAGCCAGATTCACTTAACAACCGTGTGACTAACGGAGCAACCGCAGCGATTCACTTAACAACGGTGTCGAGAAAGGTCGTAACATAAGGCAAAACTTGCTTAATGGCCGTCTCGCTGAGGAAATTTTGCACTCAGTTGTGATCGCAAGTATTTAATTAAAATATTTTTAAAATATTTTTTTATATACAATAAATCCATTCCATTTCAATCTTGTGTTGATTAGGTACATATTTCATGTGCTTACAATTCATAATAATACTCTCCTTAACAATATAACAATCACATTCCCATATTAGTAATATAAGTCCAATATATCTATTCCACCAGCTTTTCTTATTGCTTTAACAGATAACATAATCAGAGTTGGAAGGGACCTTGTAGGTCATCTAGTCCAACCCCCCGCCCAAGCAGGAGACCCTACACCATTTCTGACAGAGGGAAGTCCAGTCTCTTCTTGAAGGTCTCAAGTGATGAAGCTCCCACAACTTCTGAAGGCAACTTCTGTTCCGTGGGTTGATTGTTCTCCCTGTCAGAAAGTTTCTCCTTATTTCCAGGTTGAATCTCTCCTTGTTCAGTTTCCATCCATTATTGCTTGTCTGGCCTACAGGCGCTTTCGAAAATAGCTTGACCCCTTCCTCCTCTCTGGGGCAGCCCCTCAAATACTGGAAGACTGCTATCATATGTGAGGGGCTGCCAAAGACAGGATATATGTACATCTAATTATTATAACTACATCTAATCCATTTTAGTTTATTTTGTTTTCTAACCATTGATAAAACAAATCCCATACCATGTAATATTCAGATTTTTCTTTTTCTTTAATTACCAATGTTAATCTATTCATTTCTGCACATTCAAATATTTTTTCAATTATTTTTCCCTCTATCAGTATTTTATCACTTTCCCAGCTCTAGCAAATACAATTCTAGCAGTTGCTAAGACATGTATGATTAAGTCTGTTTTTTTCTTTACTAACCTTCAGGTACCATTCCTAATAGAAATATTGGATATTTTAGTCCAATATTTTTTAGCTTCTATGCAAGTCCACCACATATATGTTCCTGGTGTTTGATGACACTTCCAGCCTTTGGCTGAGTTATCTTTAAACATTTTAACTAATTTTGCTGGTGCAAAATTATAGATGGTGCATCTATAAAACATCTTATACAAGTTTTCTTCATATGCTGTCGATATTGTTAATTTATAATTCCTATCCCATCGCTTCTGCCATTTGTCTAATTCTATAGCATATCCAAAAATTTTTGCCCATGTTATCATTGTTTCTTTAACTACTTGTAGACTTGATTGTTGAGGGGGTCTCGTCCTATTGGGAGAGTCTGGGGAAAGAGGAGGCGATGGGGTCCTTCTCCTTGACTCAACCCTTCTGTTTTCACCTCTCCAGAGGAAAGAAGGATCCAGAAGAACATCAACGCTCATCTGCTCCTGTCCTCTGGAAGCCATCTTGGAGAGCTCTGGACCCAGACAGGTTCCAGCATCCATAGGTCAAGTCATCTGGGAGAAAATGTCGGAAGAGATTTACGAGTCCCGTCGGGAAGGAAGGAGACCAGTGGCCTGTTTCAGACCAATCTCTTTTGCCCTCCTGTAGGTCTCGCCAAAACCTCCTTGGTCCAACAGCAAACCAACCTTGAGTTCAACCTGCAGAGCAGAAGATGGGCAGGTGGGACGTTAAAAAGGACCCCTCTGAGGGGCTTCCCAGAGAGACCCCGCAACATTCCCAGGAATTCATCCAGAATGAAAAATAGAGAAGGGGAGGACAACATGAAAGGACAACATGAGCTCTTCACTGGGTCAAGAAGAAGCTATGAGGACCTCAAGGCCAGGAGAGAGTGCTCCTCACCTGGCCAGTTTTCACCGGATCCATCTCTTCATTCCTCACCCAGTGGTTGTCCTCTTCCGATGACCTTCAGTGGGATCAGTGACTCCTCACCTCCAGGACCGGCCCTTACTTTGGACAGTCTGGTTGATGGTCATTCTTCTCCTGAGGAACCTCAGACTCCCATAAGGTCTTCTCAAAACTCTGCTGATCGGTGCTGGTCCCTCCAGGGGCTTAAGAAGGAAAGGCCTTCCTTCTCTTGGGAATCCCGGTCACCTTCTTGGGTTCCTCAACCAGCACGCGAGCCACAGATCTCAACCTTGGCTGTGCGAAAGGTCCGGTCTTCAGTGGAAGGCAGCTTCTCTGGACAAGTGAGAAGTAAATGGGGGACAATGCTTAGTTCCACCTTGTTGACATGTCAAGAAGATGACTCCAGTTGTCTCAGGAGCAGCTCAGGAACACCACCGTCTACAAACAAAAAGGCTACCTTGAATGAGTCGAGGGACCAGGGCTACCTGAAGACACTTGACCTAGAAGAACATCGTTCTGGAACCTTCTGTGGCTCTGAGTTGTATCTCAAGAAGCTTCTGCCGGATATCTTCTTCCTCAAGAATTTGGAGAGTTCCCTCAAGATGTGTGTAGAGTCTTCTCCTAACAGAAGGTTGTCCGTGGAGGACACCCATGAAGAGAAGCCACCAACTCTTGATCCTTCTGGAGTCCCAGAGGTCCTGTTCAGTCACCCCTTGGAGAAGAACGTTGGGGACTTTGTCGCCCATGAAGTTGGAGATAAGCATGGAGAAGCTGGTGGAGACCCCACCATCACCTCCACTGCTGATGAGGCCAGTCTGTTCACTGCCCTTCAGAAGGTCCGTCTCTTTGAGGAAACCATCTGGAAGGGTCCCAGAAAAAGATCCCAGCTGGTCAACATCCCTGTCTGGCCATGGCGCCATCAGAAAGACGGGGTTCCCCTCCAAGGACATTTTGTCCCGCAGGAAACTAAGAAATTGGGCGATATTTTCAAAAGATGGCGTTCCCTCTGGGAGAAAAGGCAGCAGATCTGTCTGCTGACATTTCGAATCCAGACCAGGCTGATCGGACGGTGAGTAGCTGTCCTCCCAATAAACGTAGTCCACGACTTACAACAGTTCATTTAGTGATTGTTTGAAATCGCAACAGGATTGAAAAAAGACACTTATGAGCGGTTCTAGTGAACCGGTGCAAACCGGCTGAATCCCACTCCTGCTTATGGCTGTGTTTCGCACCTACGACCATTGCAGCATCCCCATGGTCAAAATTCAGATTGCTTGGCAGCTGACTCGTATTTATGGTCGCGGTGTCCCTGGGGTAACAACCTTGGCAAGAGAGGTTGTAAAATGGGGGGAGACTCGTTTGACGAATGTCTCACTTAGCAACAGAAATTTGGGGCTCTCCATTGTGGTTGTAAGTCGAGGACTACCTGATTTGATGGCATTTCTCCTCTTTTACTAAACCTGGTTATTATCAGTTTTCATGTTCCCCTTTGACCAGCATTGCAACCCATCTCACTTCTGCTGCTGATCTTTTTTAAACCATGGTTTGTTGGCCTGAGCTATTACCTGGATATTGTAGGTCAGTGATGGTGAACCTTTTTGGCACCGAGTGCCCAAAACAGAACACGCGTGCATGCGCATGTATGCGTGCGTGCTGGAAACCCAACTGTGCTTCGGAAAACCGAAGACACGCTGGCCACTTTTTTGGATGTTTTGGGGCCCATTTGGGGGCCATTTTTCAGTCGGTTTCTTAGGCCATTTTCAGGCCAATTCCAGGCCGTTTTTCGGACCATTTTCTGGCAATTTTCAGGCCATTTTTGGCGGTTTTCAGGCCGTTTTATGACTGCTTTCAGACATTTTTTGGGCCAAAAACTCAAAAAATCGGCTGAAAAAGTCCCCCAAATGGCCTGTTTTGGGCCAATTTTTAGGCCATTTATCGGCTGTTTTTCAGGCCATTTTCAGGCTGTTTTTCAGACTATTTTCTGGCATTTTTCAGGCCTTTCTCAGGCCATTTTTCAGGCTGTTTTCAGGCCATTTTTCAGGACAGTTTTCAGGCCGTTTCTCAGGCCATTTTCTGGGCCATTTTGTGGCCGTTTTATGGACTGTTTTCAGACCATTTTCGGGCCAAAAACAGCCCAAAAATGGCCTGAAAAAGGCCGGAAAACAGCCTGTTTTTGGGGCGATTTTTTTGGCCGTTTTCCGGTGCTCTGGCACCCGTGAAGACGAGCTGTCCAGTGCTCATGTGCACGGCAGGAACCAGAAGAGCAGCTGGCGATGGTGAGCGTGCCCACTGAGAGGGCTCTGCGTGCCACCTCTGTCACGCGTGCCAAAGGTTCGCCATCACGATTCTAGGTTAAAGCCTAACAAACTAGGATGGCTGAGCAGGGCAGAGGACCTGGTGATGTGTGAACGGTGCAGAAAGTTCTGTAATTGTTACTGTTGCTGTACTCATATTTGTCTTTTATTTGTTTTCATTGCATTGTAAGCCACTTAGAGTCGCTCTGCATATCAAAAAATGAGTGGGATATAAATTTAATAAGTAAATAATGAATAAGGATTGGCGGTTTGCTAAAACCGAGGCTTCATATGAGATGCTATCCGGACAGTGTTTCCTTCCCCCCCCCCTCCCCCCGAAGAAGACCCTTTGTCATGGCCCTGGTGGAGACTGACTCTGAGGGAGAGGAGGAAGAGCCAACAGGGAGTGGAAGTGTGGCTCCGGAGGTTGTGGAAGAGGCTGGGGAAGGGCAGAGGCCGGCTGAGCAGTCAGAGGAGGACACAGGCCTGTCCCCTCTCCTTCCTAGGGCACGCAGGGAGGAGAGGATCAGGGAAAAACATGGTCTACTCAGGAGGAGAGGGCCATGATCATCTTCCTGGGCTGCAGCAGTGACTGAATAAGATGACGGACATGCTTACAGGCGAATGCCGGAAACAAAGCATGGAAATATATCTAGTTTATGGTTCCTCTCTGAGTTTGACATCCTTCCCAGTGTGTGTTATCTGTGGACGTCCTCCAGCTGTTATCTTGCCTGGTTTGTGTTGGCTTTTTCCCTTCTTGTAACTGTTTGTGTGGGAGTTTTTTGTCTTCCGTCAAGAATATTCGGAGCTTGGAAGCAAAGTGAAGGAATAAAAGGGCTTCACCTGTTTTCTGTGACTGCTTGTTTCTGGGTCATCACACCCTTCCCCCAAAAAGAAACCCCGGCTGATGGATTCGTTTCTTTCTTTGCTTATTTTTCATTCTTGGATGTAAACTCAGCAAGGAAAGAAGCTACCTGGAATTAAGAAAAAAAAAAACCTTCCTAATAGGGAGAACAATTAACCAGTGGAACAACTTGCCACTTGAAGTTGTGGGTGCTCCAACAGCGGATATTTTTAAGAAGGGACTGGACAGTCATTTGTCTGGAGTGATAGAGGGTCTCCTGCTGGGACTCGACTAGAAGACCTCCAAGGTCCCTTCCGACTCTATTCTGTTTGATCAGTCTTTCTGCCATGTTTGGTCTTTCAAGGTGCTTCAAAGCCTGGCAGAGTTTGGCCCAACGCAAACAGCACAGCCAGGCAGCCGTGGCGCACCTGCGGGCCCGATCCTTGAGGGCGTCTTTCCGGCAGTGGGGCCTAATGGTTCAAGCCAGGAAGAACGCCAAGATGGCGGTGATTGAGCTGCTGGGGACCAAGCGGCTGAGCTCCCGCGGTACGTAACATAGCAAGAGTCGTGATCACAGCTTGGTGCTCCTTTTGTGGGGGGGACCAACTTTGCCCTTTCTTGGCCCCTCAAGCTCTTTGTCTCCAAATGCTCCAGGGCCCCGGAGGGCCCCCGACAGAAGAACGTGGCCCCCAAAGTACGTCGGAAATACTTTGGATTCTCTTTTCCACCTGAGGGCGTTGCAGGAAGCATTCCTGGCTTGGGAGGCGAGATGCCAGGAAGCGCAACAGGCTGGGTAAGTGGCCGGTTTCCAACTTCCCAACGTACCCCCTTCTTCTGACCCAGCCTTAGCCAAACCAAGAATAGACTCCTTGTCTCAAAAAAAAACCCCTCTTTATTTACTTACTGGGAATTCATGGCATTCACACACAGAAAAATCCCAGCAATAATCCTTCCAAGGGTTAATTGCCAGAACAGATCTTATTAGTCCTTGGATAATGGCCAGGCGGAGAGCTTTCCAGTCACAAAGCTGTAAATTAATTCCTGGCAAGGAGTCTCTGTGAGGCATGAACCACGATACGCAAATCTTCATAATAATAAGCCCCTGTTCCTTAACTGTTCCCTTCTCCTGACAGCTCTGCGCATACGCGCATCTGGAACAGGCTCCAGCTATTCTTCTTCCCCACTTATCTACAACTCTGAAGGCAGCTGGGAAATGTCGGACCGCCTTGGCCCTATCTCTGCTGACGCAGAGCATCCATCAGAGCCTTTCCCAGACTCCAGGATTGGCCCAAGTTCCTCCCCCACCTCCTCATTGTCCGAGTCTGCTGCCAACTCCACTGGCAATTGGCGGGCCACAACAGCTCTTCTTTCTTCTCTAAAAGGCGGGTTTCTAGTCCTCATGGATGCCTGCCATCTCTTTTTGTTCCCCAGGGCTTTCCGTCATGGTTTGACCCTGCGACAGCTGCGGGAGGCTCTTGGGCAATGGCACCGGAGGACCCGCAGTCTGAATCCTCTCGGGCTCATTGAGGGCTCTCTCCTTGCGTCGGCGGATTTGCAAGCGTCTTCCTCCTCCTCTGCCTTGACTACCGCCAGTCAGGTTTGTGTTGTGCGTTGTGTCCTTGGCAAGTTGCAGCATCCCCTATGGTCTATGGACCAAGCCACGTTGCTTGTAACGAGGCCTAAATTTTGTAAATAAAAGAATAAAGTTATTTTTCAAGTGAACACACAATTTGGATTAGCCTTGTAAGGTCGGCCAGGATTAAGGGTGTGTTCTTTCTTTGCTGGGGACAGGAGATCCAACTGGTAGAGCCCAGCCTCATCGGCCTAACTTACTTGGGGACTTTTGAAGAACCCAGTGGCCTTCCTGCTCCCGCCTCTCGCTGCCCGAACTGCAGTTTTGACCGTGAAAATCCTACCCATGTCGCTAATCGGGCCTCTCCTCTTCGGCTGAATTGGCAGGCAGCGTAAGTCCTCTGGTTTGCGACCCTGGAGTTTCCCATTGTAGAAAGTTAGCACAAAGTTAACCCTCTTAGAAGAATGAAATATTTTAGGAAACGCAGTTGAACCTCGGGTCACGAACGCTTCTGTCCATGACCAAATTGGGTGCCGACCCAAAAAAATCCACAAAATTGTTCAACTCAGGTCACGAACAAATCTTTGGGTGGTGATCAAACACAGCCGCGGCAATTTTCCCTGCCACAGAAATTTCCCCTTCCGCACCATTTTTAAATAGTCCCCTGGAAGTCTGCCAGAGTCCTTCAGGATAAGTCTGATAAGCACGCACCTTTATCTTCCTTGAAATGCTGCCAATGACTAAATGTCCAATTAGTTATACGAGGCCAAAATGGAACACAAATTCAACACCGAGCTTCAGGTTTCAAACCGACCAGTACGAAGAAAGTTGCTTCCTGCAAAGGTTCCTGTCCCTTTACTCCTCCTTTATGTCCTATGGGAGGGCCAATCACCTCCAAGCCTTACTCTCGAGTCGCCCCTTTTGTCTCAGCTGTTCTTGCCTTCTGGCAGCTCTGCGCAAGTGCGCACTGGGAACAGGCTCCCCCTGTTCCTCGGCCTCGCTGCTGTCAGATTCCGGAGGCTCCAGAGTCAGCACATAACTCCCGGATGGCCCTGGCCCCATCTCTGCATCGGACGCAGGACCCTCATCTGAGTTTTCCCCAAACTCCCGGACTGGCCCACGTTCCTCCCCACTGTCCGACTCTGCTGCCTTCTGCGCAGGCTGCTGGAGGTTCCACTGTATTCAAAAGACAGACTATTATATTTTCCCTAAAGGAGAAACATATATTTTTAAAGACGGAAACCCAGAGCCTCAGCTCTCTGCCCCGAGTAGAAACTGAGGAGGTCGCCTTTTAAAAATGCAGATTTGGTTATCCATTCAAGACAGGATTAAAACCCCTAGGATTCATTACATTTGTTAAGATTAAAAAAACCCAACTCATTGCCGGCCTTCGCGAGACAAACTAATTAAAACCAAATTTTAGGAGGGAAGTATGCAGTGGGGTACGCCAAGGCTCTGTTTTAGGCCAAGTACTCTTCAACATCTTCATCCATTATTTGGACGACGGGATAGATGGAGAATTCACCAAACTTGCAGATGATACTAAGCTGGCAGGGAACAGCCAACACTCCAGAAGATAAAGGCTTAAGATACGGGAAATTTGGGTAAAACTTCCTTATAAAAGAGGGATCGTTGGCTGGTTGGTGGACCCAAATATTCTCCGAAGAAAATCCAGTAAGTTTGTCCATGTTGGCTCACGAGAGCTAGAAACTTGAGTGGCGACAAAGGGAAATGGAGCAGATTAAAGGGATTTCCTGGGATAAGTGCGAGCAGCACCACCAAAATTATATCCAGGTGTCTGCAGGTGACAAGCGGGGACTCAGGTATGCCTCTCCTCCTACCCTCTTGCCCGATTCACTAAACTAAGCGTTCTGACCTGGGCTTCTCCAACAGCACGAAGCCGACTCCTTGTCCCAATCAACCCCTTTTATTTAGTTTACAGTGAATTCCTCTCCAGCAAAGTCCCAGCCAACAGTCTTTCAAGATATTTCACTATTTACAGACCTTTATCAGGCTTGGAGAGTTGCCAGGCCAGTATCTTCCAGACGCCACACTGTAGCAGACAATACTTGGCAAGAATGCAGGGGCAGATCTTCACCCAAATGAACTAATTGTCTCCTGCAAACACACCCCTCCCCTTTTGCTCCTCTTTATTCATCCCATTCACCATCCACCTGAGCCTTTACTCCCGAGTTGGCCCTTTTTTCTTAGCTGTTCCCTTCTTCTGTCAGCTCTGTGCATGCGCACACTGGGAACAGGCTCCAGCTGTTCTTCTTCCCCACTGATCTCCGACTCCGAAGGCAGCTGATAACTGTTGGACGGCCCTGGCCCCACCTCTGCCTCCGACGCAGAGCCCTCGTCAGAGCCTTCCCCAGACTCCAGGGCTGGCCCATGCTCCTCCCCAACCTCCTCGCTATCCGAATCTGGTGGGCTACAACACTAAGTTTCCTTTTCTCTGTGTATTTAAACCCTGGCTTGGGGAGTTATGGCCCACCTTGTGGGGCTTTCTCCTCTGTCCTTTGACCCCCTAACCCCTTCCAGGAGCAAATATGGAAGGCTGTGGAAACGCAAAGTCCAGCTGCGTCACTTCCAGGGCGTGCGGGACGCGCGTCAGCTGGCAGAGGCCTGGCTGCTTTGGAAAGACGCCTGCAGAACCGAGGTGGTGATACAAACATTGGTGAGTAACTTGCACACCTCCCACAGCCATGTCTTCTATACCAGCCTGCGGGAATCTGGCTTTTAAAGTGCCATCAAGTTTCTAGTCCATAGTAAGCAATGGGGAAGGGACACGTCTCATTGGCAGCATGATGAGGAGAGTTAAGGTAGCATTGTGTAATCGAAAGATAATTCACCCCCCCCCACTAGAGAGCACCCCCCCCCCCCCATTTCTGGGATTGCAGGCAGGCTGGGGAATTCTGGGAGTTGAAGTCCACACCATCTTAAAGTTGCTGGAGTGAAGACTCGGACAGACGCAACAGAAGGATGCTGGATAACTAGCATGCTTGTCCTTCCTTTCTGAAGCACGAGAGTGGTAAGGACAACCTCAGATAGAAAGTCCCTACAGAGAGTGGTGAGGACAGCGGAGAAGATTATAGGAAGCTCGCTTCCCTGTTATTCAGAATACTGCTTAGAAGTGTTCTGTGCTTAGAGCTCCAAGCATTGTTAGAGACCCCACACACCCACTTCAGGGTCTGTTCCTGTTGCTCCCTCCTGGGAGGAGGTTTTGAAGTATTTCCGGCAGAAACACCGGATTCTGTAATGGCTTTGTTCCCTAGGCCATCTGTCTAGTTGAACTTGCAAGATTCATTTTTCTTGCCATGTACACGTATGCATAATAGGAGAGGAGAGAGAAGATAGAAGAGTATAAAATATAGAATATAGAAAATAGAATACGGAGTGGAGTGGAGCTGGAGGGGACCTTGGAGGTCTTCTAGTCCAGCCCCTTGCTCATGCAGGAGAAGCTATACCATTTCACATAAGTGACTGTCCAGTCTCCTCTTAAAAATCTCCAGGGATAGAGCACCCACCACATCCAAACTAGACTTTGCTGTTTCTCTATGTCATATAATATTATCTAGCTATTTGAGTATATGCCTAATTGTGTATTTATTGACTGATCTTTTGTCATGTTTATGAAGTATATATTGGAGGTAGTGACCCTTTTGAGAGCTGTATGCAATGAAAGTTCATTTTAATTTATTGTCGATTAGTCTTCATTCAAAGTCACAGAATAGAATAAAAAAAATAGAAATAGAATAGAACTAAGAATAGAAATTAGAATAGAATAGAAATAAAAATAGAATAGGAATAGCAATAAGAATAGAATAAGAATAGAATAGAAATAAGAATAGAACAGAAATTAGAATAGAATAGAAATTAGAATAGAATATAAATTAGAATAGAATAGAAATAAGAATAGAATAGAATAAGAATAGAATAGAAATAAAACTAGAATAGGAATAGAAATAAGAATAGAATAGAAATTAGAATAGAATAAAAATTAGAATAGAGTAGAATAAGAATAGAATAGAAATAAGAATAGAATAGAAATAATAGAATAGAA